TGATTTTTCTCTTAGGACTGATTTTAATACACATTTCCTAGTCTATATCAGAGTTTAAAAAATAATGATTAAATAGGAAAAAATATTGTGTAGTCTAAATTTTTCAGTGATAAACACATAAAAGGTTGTCTGCTATCCTTCCTCATGTGTGTTGCACATATACCAAGAGCTGATTTGAACTCTGCTTGTGAGTATTGTTTATCCAGCAGTCAAGTAAAGTATCTGCTGTGTAAAATGTAACAGCAATTACTTTTTTTACATTGCATGTTGTTCTATTCTGTTGTACCCTAAGGTATTATATGGTGAATACATTTTTGAAATTGTTTTATCTGTTATTTCTTTCCACAGTAATGTTTATCATTTGTGTGGCCAGTTTTATAAATCTCTCGGCAACAGTTTACCTTCTTAATATGCTTTTGCTGTGAGTAACACAGAATAATGGTACCTCTGTTGTTTTTCTCTCTTCTTTTTTAGGAGCACATATCTTCAGTTGCATGTATGAAAGCATTTTGTGCTTGTTCTAGAAAGAGTCTGTTCATTTACCAAAGAGGTTTTAATATTATATTTGGAACATTTCCATGGCTTCCTGTCATTATGTGATAAAGTTTGAAAGTAGACAGTATGCAAAATATAGGGTGAATTAGTTGTCCGTAAAAAAAAAAATTCCAGCTTTTAGATAGTCACTGTTGTATGTCCTAGTAGCATTTTTGTTTTTATGCTGTTGTGTAGTATTATCATACACACAAATTTATATTTTGTTTGCACTAGAGTCCTGTTTTTTTTTTTTTTAATAACGATGTGGGGTATAATTCAAAGTTAGGTATACAAACGTTGATTATGCAAGTACCCTTGTTGATGAGGTATGCCTCTCCTTTCCCTAGCGGTTTCCCTCAACTGCTAATCCCACCCCCCTCCCCTGACAGTTTCCCACTACTGCCAATCTCTTTCTTACAGTTATAATTGTTCAAGATCCGCTTATGAGTGAGAACATATGGTACTCTGTTCTTTGTTTCTGTGATAGATCACTGAGTGTGATCGACTCCAAATCCATTCAAGTTGCTGCGAAGTCCGTATGTTTGTCTTTCTTTATGGTTGCATAATATTCCATGGGGTATATGTATCACTTTTTTAAAATCTTGATTTAGACTTAACATATATTCTGGGTTATTTATGTTACTATTTTATCAATATCTTAGACTTTAGAAAAGAAATTTTGAGCCATTTATTCATTTTTATTAGTAAATATGATATAACAATGAAAAGAATGCGAATTTAATGTATAAGCAATATTATTCAAATGGCATGAAAATACTTTTAACTAAGATAAATATTTTACAACACTGGGGAAGAGCTAGTGATTCACCAGATCATAACTTGATAAATAATGTCTAATACTCTATTACCATTTCCTAGCTTAAATTTTTATCTGCATTTTAATCTAATATTATAAATGTATATTTATTTTATATTACTAATGTATAATCGAATATTACAGAGACATTTAGGAATATTTTCATTAAGGATTTGCTCCTTTGGATGTTTCTCACTTTATCCTATATCATTAGTTCTCCCATTGTCCTGGATCATACCTATCAAGGACGAACATTTTACTGTTTCCTCCCCTCCCCTCCCCTCTTCTCTTGCTCTCTCCTCCCCTCCTCCATTTTTTTACTTTTGTTTTCTTTTTTTTAACTGGGTCTCACTTTGTTGCCCAGGCTGGAGTGCAGTGGCATGATCATAGCTCATTGTAATCTTGAACTCCTGGACTCACTCTAGTGATCCTCCTACCTCAGCCTCCAGAGTATCTGGGACTACAGACTCATGCTACCATGTCTGGCTAATTTTTAATTTTGTAGAGACAGGGTCTCCCTATGTTGCTCAGGCTTCTACATTCTTTTCTAACTATTGCTCCATTTCATTCTTATTTTACAGCACACGTTTTTCAAAATAATTTTTTCTGGTTACTGTCTCTACTCCTTTGCCTTCTTAAATTCATCTTAACTTTTTATTAAAGCTGAATAAATATTTAAGTATCTTAAAAGATAATATCTATTTAATCATGTAGGCCAATGAAGTGGGGAAAGGAAGACTTTACTCAATGTTAAGAAACCATCCTGGGCCACTATAAAATGCATCCATGTAGTCAAAAACTATTTGTATTCCTAAAGCTATTGAAATAAAGAAAAAAAAGAAATTATGAAAGAAGAAGAAAGAAAACATGCTAATGAAAGCATACCTGAGTCAGCTTCTACTTAGAATAATGAATCAGGGAAATGAGGTATACAGGCATTTTGTTTGATGGCATCATTATAAAAGAAATATAGAAGTATGGATCAGATGATAGCACAGTTAGGCAAGTTTGAAGATTCAAAATTCAAATAAGTGGATTGGTGACAATCTCGTAGGTGATTTTTAGTGACACATGATATGGCTCTGTTTTTAATCCTGCCTATTTTAGACATTTTAAACTGAATTTAAGAAGACATTGGAGACTCAGAAGTGGGAGAGTAGGAAAGGGTAGAGGGACAAAAAAAAATCACCTATCGGGTACAACATGCACAGGTGGGAGTGGTGGATACACTTAAAGCCCTGATAGCTTCACCATTATGCAATGCATCCATGTAATCAAAAACTATTTGTATCCCTAAAGCAATTGAAGTAAAAAAAGAAAAAAGAAAATGTGAGATGTGTAGATGTCATGATGATGGGAGGAATGGTGAATAGGCTAGTTAACACCCTCAGTCTTCAAAGAAACTGACAGAGGCAGAAGCAAAGTATTGCAGTGGGGTATAAAAAGCCCATTCTGCAAGAACAGCTGGGAGAAAATGGATCTAGCAATATCAAGTGTAAAAGAAACTTAGAGATTTTAGGTTATGTTAGTCTTGTTTGTAGGAAGTTGTTAACATCTTAATCTGCATTCATTAGTGTCTCTAGAATCTAGATTGTGTGCTGGTTAAATTACCACCTGAAATAATTATATCAGGACCACATTTAAGGCCATATAAAGTACTGTATAAGTTTAATGAATCTAATCTATATATGACATACTTCATGTAAAATATACTGGAGCCATTTTGTGGGCACTGATCCATGAATTTTCTAAGTGGTTTTAGTATGTCCTGATTTTGGGGGGGAAAGAGAAATTTTTCTTCACTGGCAAGAGAGTAGCTTCTGCAAGGATATTGACAAGGAGGTGGTGATAATAACTATTTTTTTAAGCGATTAAGGGTAGGTTTATTATCTAAAATAGGGGTCAGGTCAGGTGCAGTGGCTCATGCCTATAATCCCAGCACTTTGGGAGGCTGAGGCAAGAGGATTGCCTGAATCCAGGGGTTTGAGACCAGCCTGGACAACTTGGTGAGACCTCTTGTCTACAATAAATAAAAAAATGAGCTGGGTGTGGTGGTGTGTTCCCATAGTTCCAGCTACTTGGAAGGCCGAGGTAGAAGGATTGTCTGAGCCCAGGAGGTCAAGGCTGCGGTGGCCATGAGCATGCCACTGCATTCCTACCTGGGCAACAGAGTAAGACTCCAACTCAAAAAAATAAAATAGTTTGGGTCAGCAAACTGTAGCCCACTGAGCTAATCCTGCCAGCAGCCTACTTTGCATGTCCTTTGAGGTTTTAGCATTTAAAAGGGTTATAAAACCAAAACAAAAAGCAAAGATTATATGCCATAGAGATTACATGTGGGCCAGTTTGGTGGCTCAGCCTATAATCTCGTGCTTTGGGAGGCCGAGGTGAGTGAATTGCCTGAGCCCACGGGTTCGAGATCCGCCTGGGCAATTTGGTGAGACCTCATCTCTACAATAAATCAAAAAAATTAGCCGGGCATGGTAGTGCCCACCTATAGTTCTGGCTACTTGGAAGGCTGAGGTGGAAGGATCGCTGGAGCCCAGCAAGTCAAAGCTGCAGTGGCCGGGAGCGGCCACTGTACTCCAGTCTGGGTGACAGAGTGAGACTCCAACTCAAAAAAAAAAAAAAAAAAAAAAGAGATTACATGTGGCCTGCAGGGCCTAAAATACCATCTTTTTGCAGAAAGAGTTTGCTAAATCCTAATAGAATATTGGATCTAGTAAAAGAATAAATAACACTTTAAGATCTTGCAACTAGAAGACTTAAGACTAATGACAAGAAACAACACAAATAGTTCAGTATATACAAATTATATGATTATAAATGCTAGGCTCATATTCAAGACAAGGATTCAAAACTGTGTAGAAAGTGACAATTATAATAAATTATTTAAGTAAAAGGAGGAGACCTACTTATTAACTCTGTAAACTTCAAAGAAACGTAGGATTAATGATAGGTGGCAGTTATATCTTGCTATATTAAAGTTAATTTTATCTCCTTGAACATAAGTGATGACTACATTGGATAGAGAAGCAGCCAAAAAGCCTGCTAGTAAGAAGGACAGGAAAAAACTATTCTGGGACTAAGAGGTTAATTATCTCCTTTCTAGGACCATTGATAGCCTATAAAGGAGACAAATCACACACATATAAAAGGAAAACAATCACAAATTATCTGTATATTAAAAAGGGTATGTGTTACTTTTTATAAATCCATTTCTTTTTACTTAATCTAACTCCAAGGACAACAGGCTTTTAAAAGTGTTTTTGATAGAAGTGCCTTATTGGCAAGAAAATAGCACCAGCCATTGACCCTGGTTTTAAGATGATAATGAGCCTATGTAATGATATATGATTTTTCTTGTATTTTTAGTGACTTGGATTTATATTTTCCTTTTTATGGTAACAAATACTTGATGGTTAATATAGTTTATTTTAGTGAGTTTATTCTGATAATTCTTTATTGTTTACTTCTCAGTTATAGATAATATTAATGAAATATTCTGTCTAGAAAATTTTTCTTCTTCCCAATTCCTCTCCCAAATTTTAAGCTACATTAGGTAATTATAATTAAAGATGCTGCATTTTGTCTTTACATATATTTGCTTATTTATGATTTATAACCAAGTGAATTTTTTTTTTTCCAGATGATTCTTTGGGATTGGGACTTAAAGCATTGGTATAAACCTCATTATCAGGTAAATATGACTAATAACTAATATCTGTAATGAAAATTTTAAAGTTACACTCACAAGATTTCTGTGCCATAAGATTTTCTTTAACTGAACTCATAAGTTAGCCAGAATCTTTATTGAGGTAGATTTTTTTAAAATACACTTTAATTATAAGAAAAAAAGAAAATGGTAAGAAACCAAACTTACATAAATCATTATTTTAAAGGTTTTGCTAATGTAACTGGGGCTCAGAATATATTAAGGATGAGATTTTTTTTTTTCCTTTTCTGATGTGAACCACTGATCTACAGAAGGGAGAAAAAAGATTTGAAGACCATATTATGAGAAAAAGCAAAGAAATTGGAAAAGCAAAGAAATTGGCAGCATATGGGGAAGTGAAAGCACCCAACTTTCTTTTTTTGATAAACTTTCTTACTGAATTATAACTAACATACTGAAAAGTGTACCGCTCAATGAATTTTCACACGCTAAACATGCCATGTGACTAGTACCCATATGAAGAAGTAGAATATTACCACCACTCTTATGCCCAGTTCCAGTCATTTTCTCCCCAAAGATGACCCCACCCTGACGTCTAGTAATTAGTTTTGCTTACTTTTAACTTTGCATACATAAGTGGAATAAAATAATATATACTTTTTAGGATTAATTTTTTAAACAGTTAAGTAATATATGTTCAGATGAGATAAAATGAAAATAGAAGTATAAGGAGTAAAAAGAAAAATCACTTGTAAGCATCAAGCAATAACTATGCTGTGTTAGCTTTTGATGTATATCTTTTATTATAACTATGTGTTTGTATATTGTATTCTATAAAAATTGTATTATTATGTATCATATGCTGTTTTGAAACCTGGTGTTTTGTCACAATAATGGATAAACATTTTAAAATGTTAAATCGTTTATGTTACAGAAACGATTATTCTATTATTTGGCTAGTTGCTTAACACCAAATTTTGAAAAACGAATATCTCTTTGAGTGGATGATTTTTATTTTTAAACTGTGGGTGGAATGGCTGCAATAGCCCATGAAAAGAAAATATTCTCTGGACTTTAGTGAGCAAAATAATATAACTATTGCAGTCCAGTGAAAACAAGGAGGCCACATTTGACCTAACAGGGGAGTGATTCCTTGACCTACATAATGGGCTTTTATCATCATTCATACTCATTAAGATCCCCCATTTCCAGTTAAAAGAGTATTTAAATTACTAGTGAAATCTAAAGATAAATGTGGACTTGTCAAACTGGTGTGTGATATCAGGTACTTTTATCCTTTTTTTTTCTGTTTCCCCCCCTTCCCTTTCTAATAACCCTTTTTAAAAAATCGAAGTGTATAACATTCATATGTAAATGTGTACAACTCATAGATGTACAACTTGAATTTTGTCAAACTGAATACACACCGTCATTCAGATGAAAAATTCAGTACTCTAAAAGCTCCCTTACGCTCTCCTTCTAATCATCAACTTTTCCTCAAGCATTAACTCATTCCTGATTTTTGCCATTACAAAATTAATGGCAATTATTTGTATTTTGCTTTGCTTCTTTCTTTCAAAATTCTATCTGCTATTAATACTATTGCACTAGTAGCAATCTGTTCATTTTTGTTCTCTTTAGTATTCCATTGAATGAATATACTATAATTTACTTATTCATTTTATAATAGATGGACTTTTTAAAATTTATTTTCAGTTTGAGATATTGCAAGTAATGCTGCCGGAACAATCTTGATGTCTTTTGTTGGGCATATATCTTGGAGTAGATAGCTAGCATATGTATGCACATGGTCACTTTAAGTAAATAGTGTCAGATAATTTCTCAACGAGATTGTATTAATTTTTACCCAACCATTGGCAGCATATGAGATTTCCAGTTGTTCCACATTGTTGCCATTCGTAGTGTCTCTTTTATAAATCATTCTGGTAGCTATGTAACAGTGTCTTGTGTTTGAGGACTGCCATGCAACACATAAGACATTTCGGTCAATAGTGGACTGCCTGTACAATACTGGTCGCATAAGATTATCATCAAGCATATATAGTAAGCTGAAATATGGGACTTAATATTAGCATTGCAGATCAAATAGGGGAAATGATTGCTATTCAGTAATGGTGCTAGGAAATTTGGTTTTTTATATTAAAAATATATAAATAAAAATATATGTAACAGCTAGGTTTGTGTTAGTATATGCTATGATATTTGCCTAATGATGAACCACTGGATGAGGCATTTCTCAGAACTCATCCAGTTGATGGGTGATTTCATTTGCATTTCACTGATGAGATGACTCATCAGGTTGAGAGCCTTTTCATATGTTGATTGGCTACCCAGATATCCTCTAATCAGGTCTTCTGTCCAGTTTTCTTTTACTTAGTAATAAGTAGGGGTTCTTTGTGTTTTCTGGACATGAATATATGTATTCACAGACATATATGATATAGATCTAATATATATTGAAAAAAACTTTTCTCCTAGTCTGTGCATTATTGTGGTATCTTTTGATGAAAATACTCTTTCAATACAATGCCAATGCTATATCCTTTGGTTAGTGATATTTTATGTCTTGAGAACTGTCTACTCTCAAGATCATGGAGATTTTCTGCTATGCTACCTCGTAGAAGTTTTATTGTTTTACTTTATATCTTTAGATCTGTAATTCATTTGGAATTTATTTTCCTGTATAATGTGATATAAGGCTCAAGATACTGTTTTTTCCCATATGGACATCCAATTGACCCAGTTCCAATTTTGAAAAATTAAACATTTTTTTCTTTTTTGCACTGTATTATCACTCATGTTTGATAATATGTGTCACTATGTGTGAATTTGTTTCAGGACTTTCTGTCTGGTTCGTTGGTCAGCTTGTCTATCCATAATTACTAATACCATATTTACTACTTTAATTACTGTAGCTTTGTAGTAATTCTTGATATCTGATAGTATATATTTTTAAATTAAGCTCTCTCCATCTTGTGCAGTGAGCTCCCTGTAATACATTTTTGTTTAATCTTATTGTGCAAAATTATTTCCCCTTAATATTCATAACTATAATCCTAGTTTTTTAGGGCCCCTCTCAAATGTGACCTCTTCCATAAAATCTCTGTTACCATTCAAATTATCTCTTTTGATCTCTGTTACCATTTTATCTGTATTTTTGTCTCATCACTTTCTAGTAATAATAGTACTATTTTTTGCACTTGACTTAAATGTACTATACATTATTTTATGTACTCTGTGTGTATTGTCAGATTTAACTATCTGTGCTCCTCTCTGCTAAATACAGTTCTTAACTCTGGAAATAATATTTTAATAAATTAAAAAATAAAGAGGCTATCAATGGGGAACTATGAGAGATGGAAAGAGGAAGGCAGATTGACTAGAGAACTCAGCACTGGAGGAACAACATAGTGACAGAGTCTCTTATGAGATTACCCCCATAATAGCAAAAGGCAATCTAGGTCCCCACTCCCAGACTAACAATAGAAGGTGACACAGGTAGGTTCATTCATTCCCCAGATTAAACAAGAACTCTGCCAGTAACACTGAGTCTGGTGACTCCAGCAAGGAGAAATTGATTGGGAGCACTACTGGCAATAAGTGGCCAGGAGCAGTATTCTTCTTTTCTGAGCATGAAACTCCGCTTCCTTACTGAGAGTTACTGGGAACCAGTGTGCCTGGCTAGGAGACTAGTCCTACAGATATCTAGCCCAGAAAGTACTCTTTGTCCCTGTGACCTGGAGACTCCATTCTCCCACCTAGGGGTACCAGGTGACCCAAGGAAGCTCCCTCTCCCCGCACTGTGAAACAGCACCAGCACCAGCAGGGCACCAGACAAATATAGCCAAAATATTGAGGATAAAATTTTAAATCACCCATCATCCCAAGAACCAAGAAAATAACAACTTGAACAAGAAAGGACAATGCCAACATCAAACTGAATCAGATTTGCGATTACCTGGCAGAGTTTTAAAGCAACCATAATGAAAAATATTCTAACAGTTATTTACAAAGTATCTTAAAACAAATGGAAAAAAAAAATCTCAGGAAACGAAGTATAAATTATTTTAAAAGAAACAAATGGAAATTACAAGACTGAAAAATAAAATAATAGAAATTTAAACATTGCTGAATTGGCTGAATATAGAGTAGAGATGACAAGAGGATAAAATCTGAATTTGAGAATTGATAGATCAATAGGATTTGCCTAATTTTAACAACATAGAGAAAACAGAAAATGAATAGAGCCTTAGAGACCTATAGGAGAATAATAAGAGATCCAATATTTGTAACTTTGGTGTCTCAAAGGAGAAAGAAGGTGGGATTGAGAGAGTATTTTAAGAAGAGATAACAAAACTTCCAAAATTTAGCTGGGCGTAATCCTACAGATTCAAGAAGCTTAGTGAAGCCTAAATAGGATCAGCCCCCAAAAATCTGCTCTAAGGCATGCCATAATTAAAATTCTGAAAGCTAAAGACAAAGTAAATATCTTGAAAGCATCCAGAGAGAAATGACACATTACTTATAGTGACACACCAGTTGAATGAGAGCAGATTTTGTATTCAAAACCATGGATGCCAGAAGGAAGTGAGTGGCAGAACATTTTTCAAGTGCTGGAAGAAAAGAGCTGTAAATTCTGTATTTGGTGAAACTATCCTTTAAGTATGAAGGGGAAAAACATTCTCAAATGAAGGAAAACAAAAATAACTTGTCACTAAGAGACATACCTGAAAGAATGGCTAAAGTTCTTTAAACAAGAAATGATAAAAAAAGGACTCTTGGAACAACAGAAAGGAAAAAAGAACAATGAGACAAGAAATACGGGTCAATTTAATATGGAGTATCATTCTCACTCTCATGAATTTCTTAAATTATATTTGATAACTGTGACAAAAATTATATCATCTGATACTCAAAACAATTGAGATTTAAAAGTAGGCAAAGTAAAGAGACAAAAGTAAGATTTCTAAACTTCATTCAAAGTGGTAAAATGTCAATATCAGTAGACTGTGATAAGTCACATATGTATATTGTATTTCCAAGAGAAACCACTGAGAAAACTATAAAAAGTAAGACTCTCAAATACTATAAATCAGTCATGATAGAATCCTAAAAAAAAAGTTCTAGTAATCCTGGAAAAGCAAGAAAAAACAGAGGATCGAGAAATAGAAGAAATGAACAGAAAACAAAAAAATGGCAAACTTAAGGCCTAATCATCAATATTTACCTTAAAATGATACAATATGAAAAAAGGAGAAATTGAACCATGAAAAGACTTATCTATGAAAACAAATTATTTTTGTATATAAGGTGTTCATGTTGGCATGAGAGCTATTTATTATTACACTCTAATTACACTGTACTGCTGAAGTAAAATCATACTGTACCATCTTGGTAAATTGGTGATTTGTTCTTTCCTAATTTAAACAGTTTTTAGATAATATTGAGGAAAGATTACTCACAAATAAAAATTGTTTGCATACATATTCCATTTGAATTTTGTAGTGGATAAATGAGACTGTAAATGAGTGGTTAAATGAGACTAAGGAAGTTCACTGAAAAAAGAGTATAAACTATTTAAATATGACAGAAAACATTCAGAATTACAATAATCAGAATTAAGGTTGAAGCCCCAATGAGAATTTTTTTGCCTATCCAATAGGTAGGGATTAATTAAATTTATAGTACTAAATTATAATGAAATATGAGAAAAATAGATACTATTATATACAGTTATATGCAGTTAATGGAAATATAGATTTGATCAACATATTCTAGGGGTATTTTAGAGGAATGATCAAACTTTAACATGTTCATTTGCTTTGCTTCAATAATTTGAATTACAGAAAGCTATCTGTAAGAAGTATGCTTAATTGTTCACTGTAACATATATAGAGAGGTGTTTATTTTAATGTTATTTATAGTAGATGAAAACTAGAAATAGCTGTGCTATGCCCTGGTAATGGGGAAGGTTTTAAAATCAAAACTAATATAAATGAACTCTTCACAAGAATTTCACAAAGAGCAGACATTTAGCTATCTCGGCTTAACTTTTATTAACATTTCTCAATTCCAGAATATGTTGAGGATACTTAATAAATAGTTTCCTGCTGAACTCATTAAATAATTTGAATAATTAAGAATTTCAAGCACACTAAAATGTAAGTTCAAGGTACAATCAAACAAACAAAATTAACATTTAGTTTTCTGTTCTGATTGTTAGTCCACCTATTTCTATGGGTAATCATGTTGAACATTATATATATCTGTTTTTTATTAAAAATCATATGTTTAGCCAGGCATGGTAGCGCGCGCCTGTAGTTCCAGCTACTTGAAGGTTGAGGCGGAAGCACATCGCCAGTCGAGGCTGCAGTGGCCAGGAGCAGACACTGCACTCCAGTCTGGGCGACAGAGTGAGACTCCAACTCAAAAAAAAAACCACAAAAAAACATATGTTTACATCAGTGACCTATTTCTTCTAAATTAATAAAATTTTTACCAACTTTTTAGGGCCTACCCTGTTCATGAAGTTTTTGTTAACCATTCTCTAAATTATCACTCTCTCTTTTGAACTCTGATGCCACTTTTTCTGTATTTTTTAGCTCATCACTTTCCATAATATTAATAGTAATAATAGTATGTGTTGTACTTTAAATATAGACACCATCCATTGTATTATGTACTTCACATGTATTATCAGATTTAATTCTCATGTCAGCTTGTAATGAGGTGGATGTTATTATTCTCATTTTACATTGAAGAAACAAAAATATCCAGATGTTAAATAACTCCAGTTAAGGTTAAAGTTTAAATTTCAAATTCTGGTGTCTTTGCAACAAAGCACTGTCACTTACTCTTGAGTAAGGTAAATGATAGAAATGCGGTATGTGTTTAAAATAAATTTTGACTTAAGGGAAAGGGCACCATAAATAAATTAATGAAATGTCCAAATTACAGACTTTAAAGTAAATACAGATTTAGTTTTATACTATTTATAAAGTCAATAAGTCAGTAATGAAAAACATTAAATATGAGATAAGCTAATGAAAAATAAAAAACTTGAAGTTCACAGTTATTTGCTACCTGTATATCAAAAGTTTTAAAGTTAGAATTATACAATTTGTTATGTCATTTATGTCATGTCCAAGTGAATAAAAATTTATATTTAATAAGATTACATATTATTAGATAGATCTTGATTTAAAGCAGAGTAAGTATTTTTTTGCTTTTGAAAATGGATTTTTCTTAACTGTTAACAAATTTAATTTTTTTTATTTTCTAGAATTCTGGAGGTGGAAATGGAGTTGATCTTTCAGTGCTAAATGAGGCTCGCAATATGGTGTCAGATCTTCTGATTGATCCAAGCCTTTCCCCACAAGTCATTTCTTCCCTACGGAGTATCAGCAGCTTAATGGGTGCTTTCTCAGGTTCCTGTAGGCCAAAGATTAATCCTCTCACACCATTTCCTGGATTCTACCCCTGCTCTGAAATAGAAGACCCAGCTGAGAAAGGGGATCGAAAACTTCACAAGGTCAAAATACAGTTATCAGCCAGCCCTGTTTATCTCATTTAATATTTTCAAATTAAAATTTCTTCTTTAAATCTTACATGAAATACAGATTTCTTCTTTAAAGGAAGTTTTAAACTCAAATAGATAACTGTTCTATCTGTATTTTAAATAACATTGCTGTAATTAGCAGTGACAATTTGAAGGGTAACAATTTATTATTATTGTCATTGTTATTGGTGTTAAAAAGTAGAGAACAAGACCTGGCGTTGTGGTTCATGCCTATAATCCCAGAACTTTGGGAGGCCGAAGTGAGAGGATTGCTTGAGCCCATGGGTTCGAGACCAGCTTGGGCAACGTGGCAAGACCTCATCTCTACAATAAATCAAAAAATTTGCTGGGTGTGGTGGTGCATGCATATGGTTCCAGTTACTTAGAAGACTGAGGCAGAAGGATTGGCTGAGCCCAGCAGGTTGAGGCTGCAGTGGCTCATGAACGTGCCACAGCACTCTAGCCTGGGCAACAGAGTGAGACTCCAACTCAAAAAAAAAAAAAAAAGTAGAGAACAACAAGCAAATTTGGTTCTAGGCTTGTATAACAAGCTAGTAGTCAGATCATGTTATTAATCTATTTTATTCTTTAGAACCAGGAGTTGGCCTGACTTGGTGGCTCAGCCTGTAATCCCAGCACTCTGGGAGGCCGAGGCGAGTGGATTGCCTGAGCCCACGGGTTTGAGACCCGCCCAGGCAACTTGGCGAGACCTAGTCTCTACAATAAATCAAAAACTAGCCGGGCATGGTAATGCGCGCCTGTAGTTCCAGCTACTTGGAAGGCTGAGTTGGAAGGCTGAGTCGGAAGGATCGCCAGAGCCCAGCAGGTTGAGGCTATGGTGGCTGGGAGCGTGCCACTGCACTCCAGTCTGGGCGACAGAGTGAGACTCCAACTCAAAAAAAAAAAGAAAAAAGGAACCAGGAGTTCTTGTTGAACCAAGAATAAATGATCATTATATTTATTTTTTGCATTACATATCATTATTTAAAAATGATTTTTACATTTTTGAACCCTGTTTTTTTTCTCTTTTCTCCACTGGAGATTACTGTAGTCCAACAGGCATTGATTGATTTTTCCATTATTAGATAGATTACTTTCTCATTAAGTATTAATATTTCAAAGTGGGATTTTCTTTGGAAAACAATAAATACTGTTCTAAGTAAGTATATATTTTATGCTTGTTCAGAGTGCTTTTCCTTGTTTTATTTGACTATTAGTGATATCTTCACAAGTAACTAAAATCATAAAACTTTAAAACTAGAAACATTTTAGTGATTGTTCTGGTTCAACTACTTTATTCCAGATAGAGAAATTAACAAAAGAAGATTATATTCAAATCAGTTAATTTTGTTTATTGTAATAGTGCATATACTACTTAGAAAAGGGTAAATACAGTTTTTGGAGGAATGTAGATCATTAGTTAATTTTACTTTGTCAGTTCTCAGCGTAAGGGTTTAGGAACAGTGAAAAATTAAGCAAGCCCAATTAGGGCAAAAGGATTTGAGAATCATTGATCACAATCTGGATCATAGGTAGTTATGTGATACTTTTATTTATTTTATTATTTAATTTTTATTTTATTTTATTTTGAGTTGGGTTCTCACTCTGTCACCAGGTTGGAGTGCAGTGGCATGATCTTGACAATCATGGCTCATGGCAGCCTTGACCTCCTGAGCTCAAGCGCTCCTTCCATCTCAGCACCTCGAGTAATTGGGACTATAGGTGTGCACCACCACATTCAGTTAATTTTTTTATTTTGCTCTGTTGCCCAGGCTAGTCTTAAAGTCCTGGGCTCAAGCAATCTACCTACCTCAGCCTCCTCAAGTGCTGGTATTACAGGTGTGAGCCACCATACCCAGCCTTGCTTTTATTTTTTAAAAGTTTATATAGTAACACCTACTTTAGTCAAAACCCAATTAATAATGATGGTACATAGTTTTGTGTTTTTTAAAGCTCTCTGCCTTATTAGAAAGAGGTTAATCACAAGTATTCAAAAGGGATAGCTAAACCATCTATAACATAACTCTGATAAATTCTTGAGTTAGTTTCCACTCTGTATGTTGCTCTTCACATTTTCGATTGACATTTGATGCGCATGATGGTAATTTTTATAAATAGGAATGCTTGAAAATGTTAATCATAAAAATCAGTATTGGTATTTTATTTGTTACTATGTGTACTATGAAGACAAGTGTACTGGTACATTTTAGAAACATTTAAAACATAATGTTAATTAAACAGGATGCTTAAATGCCTCATTTCCTCAGCATTGTAGTTAATCAGGGTTATTTTGGGTTCTGGAATCTACTGATATGAGTAAGTCATATAAGAACCAGGAAGTAACTTTATTCCTTTGTGTTCTTTAAACTCCTAATTAGAATTCCATACCTAATTTGCCTCTGCTTTTGGGAAAGCATATAAAAAATTTGATGTTACTTCAGAAAAGAATAACAACATTTATTAAAAAAAATTTAGTAGACAAAGGGGAGTAGGAACAGATAATTTAATATAAATAATTTTTATACATGTTAAGAGCTAAGTGATATTACATGAACTTAAATTATAGTCAACAAGGAGTATGCTACTTAAATAACTTGTTTAAATTGTAGGTCTAACTAACCTTGAATTTCTACAAAATCATCATCCTTGGGAAAACTTAAATATAAGACAGAAATTTATTTCAGATTGTTGCAATGTCTGCTAATAGAGGGAATTCATAAGAAGCCAAAACTGTTATAGAAATCTCAGTGAAACACCTATTCACAATAGTTAGTCTCATTAGTTGAACATTTAGCTTGAGAATATTTTCAAGAATTAGGGTGAAATATTAATGCTGAAGATGTTCTGCATTTAATTTAATCATTAATTTGAATGGTAACTCCGAAACTCACAGTTTCTTCAGACTAACCACTATGTGCATTCAATAGCATGATACTGAAAATATAACAAATTTTAGAATATAGGACTGATCATTCCTAATCCTAAACTTGTCATCTATAGTTGGTTTTCATATATATTTTTTAAATTGCCAATTGTTCTTTCTTAGGAAATTAGGAGTCATATGTGCAAAAGAAAAAAATCTAGATTAAATTGTAGAAGTTCAGAAATATATATATATTTTTTGAGTTGGAGTCTCACTCTGTCGCCCAGACTAGAGTGCAGTGGCCGCTCCCGGCCACCGCAGCCTCGACCTGCTGGGCTCTGGCGATCCTTCTGCCTCAGCCTTCCGAGTAGCCGGAATTACAGGCATGCACTACCACGCCCGGCTGATTTTTTGATTTATTGTAGAGATGAGGTCTCGCTGCCCAGGCGGGTCTCGAACCCGCGGGCTCAGGCAGTCCACTCACCTCAGCCTCCCAAAGGCGCGGGATTACAGGCTGAGCCACCAAGACCGGCTCAGAAATATTTTTTAGTCGGAGGAAGATAAATAGAACAAAAATATAGAATGTGAAATTTGGAGTAAATTGACAGATTTTCTCCTGTACATATTAAAAATATATTTGTATTAATATCTTAATATGAATATGCCATTGTTAATATTGCATATATAGCATATTAAAGGGTGACAATTTTAACCATTGCTAAATTATTTAACAGGGACTAAATAGTAGGAATAGTTTACCAACTCCACAGCTGAGGAGGAGCTCAGGAACTTTGGGATTGCTACCTGTCGAACAGTCTTCAAGGTGGGAACGCAGTAATGGCAAAAGGCCTCACCAAGAATTTGGCATTTCAAGGTAAAATCTCCAAAACCTTTTTTAAAAACCTGAATCTAATGCATCTACTTTGATTCTGTGCATAATGTTTGAAATAGTTCCAAACATAGAAAGGAAAGGTTGAGGTACTTTAGAGATAGGACGACATGGATAGTCATAATATAATATGAGAAACTGATCCTTAAATAGAAGCTAAAGTGCCTTCTCTTAAAACTTAGGTAGGTTAGATACAGAAATATGCTGGAGCCTTAAAAATGTGAGTCAGTGAGGTGGTTTAGGGAAACTAGGTCCAATTTAGAACAGGCTACTGGGAAAGCTTTTAAATAGGTGGAGGTGGCCATTACAGCGGTAGGCACCAATTCAATGCATAGTATCCCAAGGTAGGTCCACAGAGTTACTTTTTAAAGGAGGAGCTCGTTCTCAGGACTCATCATAGTTATTAGGTTTAAGGTAACTAGATTCTTGCAAACTTTGTTCTTACTGGAGGCTAAGACTACTAATGTATCGTATGTTCTGTTGATACTTTACTTGGAGTTAAAAGTGCTAATCATACAAATGAAAGACTTTAGTAATTACAAGTAAACGAGGCTGGGAAAATGCAGGTGCTGAAATTTTCTAAATATAAATATATACATTTACTCTGATAACAAAAGATTTAATACAGTGCTTTGTCTTTTCAAAGCTGGGAAGTGGTTGATCTCTTGTACAGATTTATTGTAAGCTCTTTAGTCTGGTATCTAATTATGTTAATATAAAATTGGAATTAGTATAAATTTCATGTTAAGCTATGTTATTATTGAGCATGTATTGTGATTTTAATTTGAGCTGTATAGTTTCACATTTGAAACAGTAGATGGCAGAATTGGTTCATAGCTATTTACCTGTTAAAATTTATGTTAACGTTTACTTATAAAATATAATCAGATAATTATAATTTTTCAGATCCTTTTGTGGCTTATTAATTTGAATCTCCTGTAATATATTCAAATAGGTGAACTTTTTTATAAAAGAAAAGTTGAGTGAAATGATGTGTAAAACAGGAAAGGATTAAATTATGAAGTGAACAGTACAGGAAAATAAGCATTGGTTGACAGTTTGCCTAGAGCATGAACATGATAGTCTTTTTTTTTCCCGGAAGCAGGATTTGGGGAAGTTAATGATATCAGGAACTGAAACTGTAATAGTGTTTATTAGCTATGAGAGGCATTATCTTGAGAAATTGTTGTGTTTTAAAGGAATGATGAAAATTATTTTGTTTTTTAATCTTTCACACTGGTGTAATAGCAATGTATTTGTGTTAAAGAAATCATTGAGACATTGAATTAAGGTCATTTAAACCTGCTGCCTCAGACAATTGATATTAAAATAGAAATACAGTCCAGAGAAAACTAATCTTTAACTCTGAGAAGTGTTTCTGTAAAGGTGTAAATGTAGGCAGATTCTAAATAGTCGCTTAATTCTCATTAAAACAAAACCATATGCCTCATAAAAGATTTAGAAATTTGAAGAGTGAAGCAATTGGGTGGTATTATGTATATCTGCTTCAAAGGAACTAAGCTAGAGATAATTTTTGTAGTTTGCAGAAGCTGGAGCCTCTCAGTAATAAATTTCTAAGTGTACTTTGAGCATAGGTGGGGTAAGATGGGAATGTATGAAGTTTTTATGACCACTCTTTTTTTCACATGTGAGCCTCTAGATCAGTACTGTCCAGTAGAAATTTCTAGGATGATAGAAATATTTTATATCTGCACTATATATTTTATAGCTAGATACTCCCTAGCTATATGTGGCTATTAATCATTCGAGATGTGTCTAGTATGACTAAGAAACTGAATTTTAAATTTGATTTAATTTTTTTTTTTGGAGTCAGAGTCTCATTCTGTCGCCCTGGCTGGAGTGCAATAGTATAGTCATGGCTACTGCAGCCTCTACCCGCTAGGCTCAGGTAATCCTTCCACTTCAGCCTTTCAAGTAACTGGTACTATAGGCACATGCCACCATGCCCAGCTAATTTTTTGATTTATTGTAGAGATGAAGTCTGTCCATGTTGCCTAGGCTGGTTTCCAACTACAGGGCTCAGGCAATTCTCTCACTTTCACCTTAGCCTCCCAAAGTGCTGGGATTACTGGCATAAGCCACCAAATCTGGCCTGATTCAATTTTGATTAATTTAATTCAGATATAAAGAGTCGTATGTGACTATTGTATAAACATGTGCAGCATCTATATTAGTGCATTTCTAGATCTTAAGTGTATAACACCAAACTAATAGGCTTGTGACTATGGAATCACCTCTCTTGACTTTATTACAGTAGTCCAGAACTGAGATCTCATATCCTAGGTTTTTGTGTCTTGATTTGAGCTCAGCTTTAGATTCTGATCACAGCTTCCCTGACTGTGATTTCAACATTATGCCAGTACTGAACCTCTCATTCCCTGAATCTGTGTCTGAAACCAGATTTCTCATTCCTCCAGCTGCTTACTATTGTTTTGCCCTTATGCTGGCACAATGCCGCCAACCTCTAGTTCAGTGGTTGCTTACAAAATTGATTTACCTAGAAACTTTGATTTTTTTTTTCTATCAGTTTGATGAGGTACCACTTGTCTGTCTTATTTCTTATGGTTCTTATTTCTTATGGTATGGGCACCTAGGGATGTTGTTTTTGACTATTTCCTTATTCTATGGATACCAGTTGTCAAATCTGTCTCTGCATTATCTTTTCCCCTCCCTCCCTCCCTCCTTCCCTTCCTTCTTTATTGTAGAGACAAGGTCTTGCCAAGTTGCCCAGGCTGGTCTTGAACCCTTGGGCTCAGGCAATCCACTCGCCTCAGCCTCCCAAAGTGCTGGGATTACAGACTGAGCCACCGAGCCTGGCTTCCATTTTTTCTTCTTCATCACTTTGCCTATACTATTTTATGCTTTCATCATTGCTTACTTGGGCTATTGAATTAACCTCTTAATTTCATTTTCCAGTATTCTTTAGCACATAAGATTCATCTAACACTTTCCACTAGAAATCTTCTTTAAACAAAACTTTGATTACAACTGTTTCAGGGTATCTCTGGGGGATTAGTTCTAGGCCCCTTTCCTTCTCCCACAGAAACCAAAATCTGTGAATGTGCAAATCCTTTATATAAAATGGTATATAGTATTTGCATAAAACCTATGCACATCCTCCCACATACTATAAATCATTTCTAGCTTACTTTATAATACCTAATACATTGTAAATGCTTTGTAAATAGCTATTGTACTGTATTATTGATTACTTTTTATTATTGTGATGTTTTTCTTAATATTTGCTTGAATATATTTTATCTGAGATTGGTTGAATTCACAGATTTGGAAACCTCTGTATATAGTTTTTCTAGTTGCTATGTTTTAGACCCTTTACCAGTGCCTATATAGAATAGTGCTTAAATTCCTAGTCTGGAATTGGAAACCTAGTTATTAATGCATCACAAAACTGCACCCTTACTTGGAAAAAGTAAATGAATTAATGTTGATGAGTAGTCTTTCAAAGAATGAGAATAGAAATGTGATTTGGAAAGCTCTTTGTGAAAACAATAGACATGTAACTTGTTTTAGACTCTTCCTTGATGTTTTCTGATAAATTTGTTCTTAGTTTAACTTTGTTTAGAAATTAACCTAGGCCAGGCTCAGTGGCTCAAACTTGTAATCCCAGCACTTTGGGAGGCTGAAGTAAGAGGATTGCCTGAGCCCAGAGCTTTGAGACCAGCCTGGAAAACTTGGTGAGACCTCGTCTCTACGATAAATCAAAAAATTAGTCAGGCATGGTAGCACGCACCTGTAGTTCCAGCTACTTGGAAAGGCTGAGGTAGAAGGATCACCTGAGCCCAGCAGGTCGACACTGGGGTGGCCATGACTGTGCCACTGCACTCCAACCTGGGTGACAGAGTGAGACTCTGACTTAAGAAAACAAAAACAAAAAACCTTAATTATATTTCAAAATAATTGGATACAAACAATGAAATAAAAATAAGGTATTTGGGTAAAGAGTAATACCCTGTTTGTGTAACGAGCAATATAGAATTTAATTTTGCTTTTCTTCATGCTTTTCCTGGAGAAAAAAGTCAAGTATTGTAGCCCAGGGAGGCTGTGCATAAATGTGATTTAAAAAAAGAATCTTAAGAAATAAAACCACTTGGAAGAATAGTTAATCTTCCTTGAACAGTCACTCTATTCCTAGCCTTAAAAGTTTATTGCTGTTCATCTCTTAGAGGACTTGAGATTTTATTAATCAGGGAAGCAGTTCCTTTACAATACCAAAATATCTTTACAATGCCTTCTTCCTTTGTTCATCTGAAATTCCAGTTAAGCTTAACAATTTTATTTTCTATTTGTCCATCCGTGCTTCTCTTTAACTTATGAGATTGATGCCCTACCTACTGAGCTAACGAGGTATCTCCTCTCTTTAATTTAAAAAGAAATTTAACTGGAATAGATCTCATCCTCATTTCTGTGTCCTTAATTAGGCTCAGATATACCTCTTAAGAATGATACCTGACATTCTTCTCCCTTCTTCCTCAAGGAAAAGTAATCTCTTTTACTTATGAATTTCCATAACACCTTTTCTTTGCTTATTTTATGGCACTTTTCACGTTCTACCTTGTGTAAACTCTGACTGCTACTGTGAAACCTGTTCAGTTACTGTGAAGAGTTTGGGACTGCATTAAAATGGATCTTTGAAGGTAAACGGCTGCTTAACAAGTGTCTTGAAGGGGTATGGTATCCATATGAGATGATGGCCCTTGATTGTACCTTCTGCCTAAGGTTCACAACTAGGATGATATTTCTCTGATCAGAAATTTTCAGGAAAGGTTGTTTTCTGGGATAGCTGACAATTAAATTACCCATTTCTGAGTTCCAGTGTTAGTACAAGTTGTATATCCCTTATTCACATGCCTGGGACCAAAAGTGTTTCAGATTTCAGATATTGGAATATTTGCATATGCATAATGAGATACCTTGGGGATGGGACCTAAGTCTAAACACAGAATTCATTTATGTTTCATGTATACCTTATAATTGAAGCTTGAAGGTAATTTTATACAATATTTTTAATAATTTTGTGCATGCAACAAACTTTTGACTGTGACCTGTCATGTGAGATCAGGTGTGGAATTTTCCATTTGTGGAGTCATGTCAACACTCAAAAAGTTTTGGATTTTGGAGCATTTCAGGTTAGGGATGCTCAGTCTATATTAGGGTTAAAAAACAACTGAATTGCTATCCTTGAACTGGGTGATGAGACTTAGCCCTCCCTGAAGGCAAACAGCATGTATTTGGAGCTCCTAGATCCTTCATTTTGTACAGATTTTCCTTTGGAAAAATTAGGTAATTTGTGTTGATTAACCTGCGGGCTCTCAATTGTATTTACATCCTACACTACAGAGACTTGCTTTTAACCTGTGATTTATCATTCTTCTCCACAACTGCTCTGTAATTAAATCTAATAACTTGTTACCTAGCAATAGTATGTTCCCTAAATAATGTCCTTAGAAACCAACTTTTCAATTCTGTGTCTTATAATTTATCAGAGATTTACATCAAATGTTAGCAAGTTTAGACCCTAAATTCAAGAGAGCTGATAGTGTCATTTCACTCAGTATCTTAAGAGAATGGCTCTGTATGCCAGGCTCGGTGGCTCAGCCTGTAATTCCAGCACTTCGGGAGGATGAGGTGAGTGGATTGCCTGAGCCCATGAGTTTGAGATCAACCCGGGAAACTTGGCAAGACCTTGTCTCTACAATAACTAGAAGATTTGCCGGGAGTGGTAGCATGCGCCTGTAGTTCCGGCTACTTGAAAGGCTGAGGTGGAAGGATTGCCGGAGCCCCTTGGGTCGACACTGGGGTGACCGCGAGTGTGCCACTGCACTCCAGCCTGGGCGACAGAGTGAGACTCCAACTCAAAAAGAAAAAAAGAGAGAGAATGGCCCTGTAAATCTAGACATCTGTGGCTGTCAAGTTTATATGGCAGCAATTAAAAAAAAAAAAAAGAATGAGTTGACACAGACCTTGCTAGAGTAATTTGTATTGACTATCTAGAATTCAACTCTTAACACATGGCTTAATTAAGTGACCATAACTTTTGACATCTTTTGTTTGTCTTTGAAGACTGATTTCCCAAGTGAGTAGAAAAAATAAACTCAGTTTCTCCCATTATACTCTTTTTCAAAAAACTTTTATGTTTTTTATTTTAAAGATGTGGGGTACAATTCAGGGTTAGGTATACAAATGTTCATTATGCAAGTACCCTTGTTGATGAGGTGTGCTCCCCTCACAGTTTTCCTCAACTGCCAATTCCATTCCCCCTCCCTTGGCTGTTTTCTGCTACTGCCAATCCTTTTCTTTCAGTATTATGTTAATTGTTCAGGGTCTGCTTATGAGTGAGAACATATGGTACTGTGTTCTTTGTTTCTGTGATGAATCACTGAGTATGATAGACTCTAAATTCAACCAAGTTGCTTCTGACACTAGATGTATGGGGATTTCGTCCTACCAGCAAGCAAATAAGCAAGCAGTTCTGCAGTGGATGTCAACTGGATGTCCTTTAATTTAATTCAGTTCAATTCTGCACCGTTTACCTGGAGATAGCGTCACACTGATTGAGGACTTTTATAGTTGCTAGCAAAACTAAATTCGACTTCTAGTGCTTATAGCAAGCCCCAGGGTTTTTTTGCCTGTGCCTCTGACTGACCGACTATAAATCAGGGTTCCCATAGCATTTGGATTCAGTTAATTTACTAGAGTGGCTCACAGAACTCAGGAAAATATATTTACTGGTTTATGACAAAGACTGTTTTAAAGGACAAAAATAAACAGCCAGATGAAGAGATACATAGGGTAAGTTCTGGAAGAGACCTGAGCATAGGAGCTTCTGTCCCCATGGAGTTGAAGTGTGGTACCCTCCTGATTTGTGGATGTGTTCTTGTTCACTCTTTGGAAGTTTCCATGTGTTTGACTATTCACAAGCTCTCTGAACCCAATTTTTGGGATTTTTATGGGAGCTTCATTATGCAGGCCTGGTTGATTAAATTGATGAGCAATTTAACCTTCAACTCTTCTTCCCTCCCCAGAGGTTAGGGCAGTAGGACTGATAGTTCCCACCTTCTAACCTTACCTTGGTCTTTCTAGTAACCAGCCCTTATACTGAAGCTACCTAGGGACTGCCAGCCATCTGTCAGCTCATTAGCATACAAAAAGATACTATCACTGTGGAGAGTCCAAGGATTTTTTAGGAGTTATGTGTCTGGAAGCAGGGACTGGACTAAGACCAATATAGACTTCAAAATATCACACCAAGTGTGACTTTAATCACCTTCCTACCAACTATTAATATTCATTGAGACTACTATGTAGCCCTCTCCTTTCTTCAGTGGCAAGTTATATAATTTCATTCAGGTGTATTTTTATCAGCTGGTAGAAATTAATGAGGAGATTCTGGAACTGATCTGAGAACCTATAATTTGACCTGTACCTCTCCATTCTAAACAGCCAAATGAATGTATGACTTATCTCAATTATTAGAAGACCTTGGATAAAAGGTAGAAGACTATGGAGTAGTGCTGTGGGTCTATTCTGAAAAGGAGAAATCTCTTTTGATTGAATATTAATCAGAGAGTGATTATTAATCAGATGACTTTGTTAGAATACACAGATTTTTCTATTTGAATGTTTCCTTCAGTGGTATTGTTACTCTTTTTTCCCAGTCTTTCCCACTTCACATGTAGGCTATTGTCAACTTGAAATAATTGAAAGGATCAGAATCCAGTTTAAAGGAGTTTATTCAGGTGCAAAGCTGAGGATGACCCTCCGGAAAACACAGACTTTAAACTTTGGAGTACTGACCCCAGAGTTAGAGATCTTTCTTATATAGGCAGAAAACAAAGGAATTTAGCAGAATTACAATATTTCCTACACAAGGTTGATTTATGAGTTACGACAGTTTGATTAGTTACAGCTTGCTTTCTTTTTCTAATTTAAAAGAGTATATTTAACATTCCATCTAGACAGTGTGATAGTCATGAGGTCTTGTGTAAAAGAAGAAAGAGGGAAGTTAAGTCTAAAAACGAAGATCAGTAGTAAAGAGGGAAAGTCTTCTCTGGGACTCTTTAGTCTTTTATAACATTTTCCAAAACAATTTAGGTAAGAGGAAGAAGGGTTAATCTATAGTCAAAACAAAGGTTACAGCTGCCTTTTAGTGACTCAGGTCCCATAGTTACATCCTTTGAGGTTCAAAATAATTTAAAGTTTCTAACAGTTTTAATTTTGAATTACTTATTCATAGAGTAAATACTCAAATACAAAGAATGACTGAATATTCATAGAGAAATAAGTTAATTGGGTGATATTTTTTTGCTTATTGCTTTTTTAAAATTAGCTTACACTAATAAAAATTGTCAGTATCTGTGAGGAGAGGGAACTGAAACTAATGAGAAACTATACTTTAGGTCAGCGATTCTCATTGAGGTCCCTGGACTAGTAACACCAGCATCATCTAAGAACTTGTGAGGAATACAAACTCTCTGGCCCTACCCCAGACCTACTAAATCAGAAACCTTGGGAATGGAACTAGCAGTCTGTTTTAAGAAGCCTTCCAGGTGGTATTGATAATGCACTTTAGTTCAGGGATCAGCAAACTATAGCCTATGGACCTAATCTGGTCCATAGCCTGTTTTTGTAAGTAAATTTTGTTGAAGCACAGCCACATTAATTTGTTTATTATTGGATGCTTTTGTGACACAATGGCAGAATTTAGTAGTTGCAACAGAGACCTATAGCCTGAAAACAGAAGTATTTACTATCTGGTTCTGTACAGAAAAAGTTTGCTGACTCCTGTTTTAGGCATTAGGCACTAAATAGAGGTCAAAACTCTGAATTTATAAGGCGGTATTTGCTAATTGAATTGAAGACAATGAAGAAAAAAAGGAAATTTCCCATGGTTTCAGTATTCATAACCTGCTATTTTTCCCTTTTAGTCAAGGATGCTACCTAAATGGGCCTTTTAATTCAAATCTACTGACAATCCCGAAGCAAAGGTCATCTTCTGTATCACTGACTCACCATGTAGGTCTGAGAAGAGCTGGTAAGAAATCACTCTTTTTTACTTAAATGTGGGAATTCTCAAAGTATATGATGGTGTAAATTCTTTTCATTACACATCTATAGCTAGTTTTGAATATAATTTCATGTATTGTAAGTCAACATGACTAAGCAACTTGGGTTGGTTACTAATTGACCACTTGCTAATTCTTTTAATAAACACTTTTTGAACATCTACTGTATACCAGGTACTCTGTTAGGCACTAAGGATTCAGAGATAAAATTAAAACTATTTAACCTGAATAGTTGCAGATCCAGAACAATGGAAAATCTTCAAGAAAGAGTATTTCTTTTGTAGCATGGCAATTGTGGAGAAAAAAATCTTAGTATGAGAATAGAGAAACCCTGACTATATCCTGGCAAGTCTTGCTAACAGGAATTTTTTTTTAATTAAAAGATTACAGGATGCTTCAAAACTTCTTGAATGAAAGATATTTTTGCAAATATAACATAGAAATATTAGAGCAATACTGATATCTGCTTTTAAAGTACATTAGGACTGATATTAGACAGGTACAATGAGATATACACTCACAGAATTTTTTTATACACAATTAAAAACTATACAACATGTGAAGAGGCTGGAAAATGTTATTTACAATCAAGAAAAGCAGACACTAGAAAAAGATCTCATATGATATTGATGTTGAATTTAAGTCTTTAAAATAACAATGATATTTTAAAGGAAATAGAAGGAAAGATGGGCAGAATGAATGGATACATTGAAAAGAGAACTGGAACACATAGAAAAGAAATAATGGACAGTCTAGAACTGAAAAGTGCATTTGATTAAATTAAAAGTGTAGTTCTTGGTTTAAGAGTGGATCAGATACAACAGAAAACAAAATTAGTGAACTTGAAGACAGAGAAGTAGAAAATACCCAACCTGAAGCACAGAGAGGAAAAAATATATAATAACAGAAGAATATGTAAGAGACATATGAGAAACAGTCATAAGTTTTAAAATATGTGTGAATGGACTTCCAAAAGAAAAGGAGACAAAAAAAACCAGAATAATTTCCCAAAACTTATAAAAAGAAAGCAGCCAACAGACTGATAAAGTTCCGTGAACCCCAAGCAGGATAAATACAGAAAAAATCACAGCTAGTATATCAGTCAAACCCCTTAATTATAAAGAAAAAAATTTTAAAACCAACCAGAAAAACACAGATTATTTTCCAGGGAGCAACAATACACAGACAGTTCCTTCTTATCAACAACTATGGAAGCCAAAGGCAATGGAATAGCATGTTTAAAGTATTGAAGTTACAAAACTTGCTAACGTAGAATTATTTGCCCAATGAAATATTCTTGACAAATTAAAATGAAATAAAATCTGGCCGGGCTCAGTGGCTCAGCCTGTAATCCCAGTGCTTTGGGAGGCCAAGGTGAGTGAATTGCCGAGCCCGCGGGTTCAAGACCCTCCTGGGCAACTTGGCGAGACCTCGTCTCTACAATAAATCAAAAATTAGCCAGGCATGGTAGTGTGCGCCTGTAGTTTCGGCTACTTGGAAAGCTGAGGTGGAAGGATCGCTGGAGCCCAGCAGGTCGAGGCTGCTGTGGCCAGAAACGGCTACTGCACTCCAGTCTGGGTGGCAGAGTGAGACTCCAACTCAGAAAAAAAAAAAAGAAAAAAAATCTGAAAGTGTCCTTACGTTCCCCCCAAACAGTAACTGAGGAATTAGTTATGTTAATTTGATTGTGACTATCATTTCACAGTGTATGTAAATCAAGTCATTATGTTGTATAGCTTGAATATATACAGTTTTTATTCATCAATCATACCTCAGTAAAGCTGGAAAAAATATTTTTACTAAATAAGTTAAGCTAAAAAAAATTATTTTTTTTAAAAGAAACAAAAGCTAAAAGATTTGGTTGCTGGCAGACCTGTACTACTAAGATTCTGTAAAGGAAGTTTCTTAGGTAGGAGGAAAAGATGCAGATTGAAGCATGGAACTGCAGGAACAAATCAAAAGCACTGGTAAGCCTAGACTGGTGGATGAGTATTAAAAAAAGGATGGGTAAAAACAACAATAACTTTCTTGTAGCATTTATAATATATGTAGAAATAGGATATATGGTAATAATAGCTAGCATAAAGGGCAGGGCAGGGGTAAATAGACTTAAACTTGTAAGGTACTAGAAATGATTGAAAAGCAGGAAAAAGTTCTGATTCAAGAGAGATCAATATTCAGAGATGCACATTGTAATATCCAAGAGGTCAGTTAAAAGAATAGTAGAAAAAGGTATAACTAAAAAGCTAATGAGAAGTAAAATGTCATAATTTATTTTTAAAAACTTCAAATAATTAAATAAAGGAAACAAAAACAGAAGGAAAAAATAAATAGCAGCACAGCAGGTGAACATACTATATTACATTACATTAAAAATATACCTTGGGGGAGGAAGAAGGATCTGACAAGAATTGTTTACAGTATGTTATCTGAAATGTCAAATTTCCAAGAAAAAGTTAGACTATACACTCCAGTTGAAAGACAAAGATTATCAGACTGAATTAAAAATATAAGACTCTTCATAACCTGCCTGGACAACTTGGTGAGACCTCATCACTACAGTAAATCAAAAAATTAGCTGGGCATGGTAGCGCACACCTATAATTCTAGCTACTCGGAAGGCTGAGGCGGAAGGATCGCTGGAGCCCAGCAGGTCGAGGCTGCAGTGGCCGGGAGCGGCCACTGCACTCTAGTCTGGGCGACAGAGTGAGACTCCAACTCAAAATAAAATAAAATAAAATAAGACTCAACTGTATCCTCTTTGTAAGAGGCATACTCTAAATTTAAAGACAAAGATAGATCTCATCTCATTAACTGTAAAATATATAAACTAAAAATTGACAAATCTAAAGGGAGAGAAATAGAAAATTCATATTCACATTTGGAGATTTTTAACTCATCACTCACATTAGCTAGTAGAACAAGCAGACCAAAATAATGTAAATATGTGGAAGATTTGAACAACATGACCAACTGACTTGAATTAACTGACTAGAAAACACTATGCCCAGCCATAACAGGATGCTTATTTTTTTCCAAAGACACAAATATTTTATCACAGCACATCATTTGCTTGACTCTAAAGCAAATATAAATGAATTTCAAAGGAGTAAAATCATATGTATAGAGAGGTTAACTTCTGCATGGCAGAGGGAAGATCTCACTGTCCTGCTAAAACAATTGTAGCAACACAAAATCAATCATTTCAGAACTCCAGAAATTAACAAAAGCTAGAGAAGAAACTAGAAGTTGTCAGTCCAAGAAAACTACTGAACCTTGGTAAGACAGTCGATTCTATGACATATTGATTTGAGGCTGTTGTCATCTCCCAATCTCTCCTCAGCTCAGTGGTATTATAGTCAAAAACTTACGGCATTGAAGTCATTGGATAGGTCTGGCCTCTCTTGGAGCTCCCTTAAAAGCATCCTCTCTAAAGCACAGTAAATATTTTGTTTTTACAGTTTCCTGGACAAAATCTCTATTTCCAGTTTATTGTAGCTATTTGATTTGATTCAGAACTTAGCTTACAAAAACAAACAAAAAAAAGCTCATATCCCCAGGCTTTTCCAAAATAATAACAATCGGCTAACAACATCATGACTTTCTAAGGCTGTGATCTGAGTTGTGACAAATTAGCTTACTAGGAATTTTAAGGACATGTTATATACTAGATGACCTTGGGAACTTTGAAAAGCACTGGTATATTCCTGGGGATCTGATAGTCTGTACACATGTAAGATTGTGCTTATGCCCAAGAAAGATCTGAGAAAGGAGAAGGCCCCAGTCAGTCACCTCTGGCTGATGTTCAGGCCTTCACAAGCAGGTCATGAAAGCTAAGGCTATCTTGTAAAGTGCCTGAAATTTGAAGGTGTGTCTTTTCACACGGCTTCTCTTGACAAAAGATAGAACACATGTAAGCAAAACATTTAAAGAAATCTTCTGACTGAACATTGGCTTGCCTCTTACTTATACTGACTCAGGGATGACTTAAGAAGTCAAGCTTGGAAATAAAATCAATAACTTAAAAAAAAGCTAACAGAAAACTAAGTGGCTACACATTATAAAAACAGAATCTACATAATTAGTTCAGGAAAGTCCCTAAACAAATAATCAGAAAGAAGAAAACAAACACAAAACCAGCAAAATGATAAATTTGGGGTGTGAGAAGGATATAATACCAGAGTTGTTACAGTATTTTATCTAAAATGTCTAATTTTCAGCAATAGCTTTTGAAACATGCAAAGAAATAGAACATTTTTGCCATGTGTACAAGGAAAAAAAGTAGCCAATAGAAAGTTTATCTGACGGGGCTGGATTTTGGACTTAACAAAGACTAATATTTGCTATTATTAATATGTTTAAATAACTAGAGGATACCATGTCTCAAGCATTTAAGAAGACTATTACAATAATGTTTCACCAAAGAGAGAAGATAATTAGAAATTATAAAATAAAATTATAACATTATTTTGATAATTATAAATAATTGCTGCTTCTACTCAATATTGAATGGGAGGTTCTAGCCAGAGAAATTAGGCAAAAGGAATAAAAAAGAAGTTAAACTATTTTCAGATGGCTTTATCTTGCCTATATAAAATCCTAAGAAATGTACTAAAACTTATTATAACAAATAAACAAGTTCATCAATGTAGCAGTATCAATTTTATTTCTATACACAAGCAATGAAAATCCTAAGGAATTCATTAAAACCTATCGTAGCCAATAAGTAAGTTCATCAGTGTGGCAGGATCAATTTTATTTCTGTATATTAGTAATGAGCAATCCAAAACTGAAGTTAAGTAAAGAATTCTATTTATAATTAGCATTTTTAAAACTTCAAAATAAACCTAACAAATTATTACAAGACCTTTTCAATAAGAACTATGAAACATTGTTGAAAGAAATTAAAGAAGACCTTAATAATGGAAAGACAGTCATTCAAAAGACCTAATATTGTTAAGATTACAGT